AGAGAGAGAGAGAGAGAGAGAGAGAGAGAGAGAGAGAGAGAGAGAGAGAGAGAGAGAGAGAGAGAGAGAGAGACCCTCCTAATTAATTAGCTAATTAAATTAGCCTTAATTTGTGCCAGTAATTTGCATAATAAGCTAGTAACACTAACATCTCTCTACATGGTTGAAGCTTCTAGCTAGCCATCTTATAAATACTCATGTTTTTATAATCTGACTGTATATTGAACTAAAAATGTCAACGATTTATGGTTTGCATGGTCCAACAAGGTCGGACTAATTGTCAGACTGGTAATCTAATAATTAAATTAAATTATATATATATATACAATAATCTAAATATAAAAAATAAATATAAAATTGCTACGTAATTTAAAAATAAAATTAAATATTTTAAGTTTATCATGACTTAACAAGTTACATAATATAACATAATATTAAATGATTAAAAAATTGATCATTTAAAAAATTGATTAAAAAAAGGAAAGAAGAGTTTTCTTAAATAGTTCGGGTTTTGAATAACAGATTCGGTTCCTGATTTGACCACCGATCCAAAGTGACCCACCTCTCCAAACAGTTTTTCTGACTTTATAGAGCCGTTAGCTTGACCAGTTGACAATTAGGCCATCCAATGTCAACAAGCCCTTCACTAGATAACCATGACACCAATACTGTTCTAATTTCTAAATCAAACAATTTTTGTAATTTGTAGATTTCGTCAATTCATGGGTCCTCGTTGCCCTCCTCTTCCATGTCCATTGCCACGCGCACTGCCGCCGCCACTTTCTTATCCGCCACCGCCAGTACTGCAGGTCCACCATGTGGTCCACCGCTGCCGCCTCCATGAGTTTATCAACTGCCTCCGGCCAGGGTCTCCTTGTCCTCCTTCACCACTAGGATGGCCGTATCCTCCACCGCCGCCACCTTATTGTTAGTTTGCATGATGCATAATTATGTGTGTGTGTGTCTTGTCTGGGTAAATTGTTGCAGTAATATTAGCCAAAATCCAGAGAAGTTGTATGCAATTTTAATAATGTTCGTGGCAATATTAATAAGGAAAGCCTCGGATTTGTGTGTTTTTTTTTGGGGGGGGGGGGGGGTGGGGGGATGTGTAGGAAGAAAGATGTTGTGGTGTGGGAGCACCAGTGCAAGAGTGTGTGTGAGTAGAGAAGAATATTGGTGAGAGAAAAAAAGAAAGCGTTTAGTTTATATAGTAACATCAATGTTGAAATATATGAAAGATTTTTAAATTGAGTACCTTTCTTTTTCCATATTTAAATTCCAACACTTTCATCGACACTAATATAAATATAAATAAATATATATATATATATATATATAGCCAATGAGAGAGATTATTGTTATCTGAGAAATTTCACGAGAAGCCTATTTTTCACATAATTTTGGATGTTTTTTCACTTATTGTGTCTCCAGCATTCAATCACTATAGTTTTTTTTTTTTTAAAGATATTTAGAGCACTCAAAAGCTTTATGAAGACTAAGAGCAAGATTACAAGGGGATTCTTTGGGTTGGGGGCTTCTAATATGCTCTTTTTTAATGTCCATTGTAATGTCTCAAGTTTTTAATTTTGTTTTTTATTTTTCTTTGAATTATTGGATTCTACTGAATATTTTGAAATAAAAGATATTTGAATATTTTGAAATCTTAAAATGGTAAAGATTTATATTTTATGATTTTTAAAAATAAAAGCGTATAATTCTAATATTTTTCTTTAAAAAATGTGAAAAATACAAATCTTCACCATTTTGAGACTTCAAGATATCCAAATGTTTCTTATTTTAAGTAGAATTCAATGATCCAAGGAAAAATAAAAAACAAAATTAAAAACTTGGGACATTACAATGGGCATTAGAGAAGGGCATATTAGAGGCCTACAGCTCGGGTTTTTTACATCTTAGTTATTGTTTATATATTACTTAATTTTCTCTATGATTTATACTTATGATTAGGGATTTTAGAACAATATTTATTGGAGTTAAGCATCATTTTTGTCTCTCAACTTTACCTAAAATGTTATTGGGAACCCTAATCTCAATTATAAATCAATTTTGTCTCTCAATTTTAAAGATTTCCTCTTTTATCATTCTGTCCTTTTTTCACCATTAGTCGATTGTTAGTGGACCCTAAATTTTATTTTTTAATATAAAACATTTGAGTTGATGATGATCACCAAAGACAATAATTTGAACGAGTCGGACTCAATTCGAGCCAAGTTTTATCCGAATCGAGCTTAAAGCTTTCTACTCTCTTTAAAAAGCCTATATAACTAAGTTTGGCCCTAACTTTTTTTGGCCAAATTCAAGTTGGCCCGTTTGGCTTGACCAAAATTATCAATTTTATATACATATAAAGTTGTAAATTTCAATGGTCGAGTTTATTTGAATAGGGCTCAATTTGGATTGGACTTATTTAGATCAAGGTTAAAGTATCATACCCTCTTAAAAAAAACTCACATAGTTAAGCCCGGCTCTAACTTTTTTCATGGGGTTCGGGCTGATTTGTCGAGCTTAGCACAAATCACCAGCTCTAATGATCATTAACCTTTTGAACAAAAGTTGAGGGGCAAAAATGACTCTCAATTCAATAAAAAATATCTTTAAAAAATAGTGAAACCCACTAATGACTAACAACTATTAAGTGTTTTTAACATTAGAGTAATAAAGAAGAGAATCAACGTTGAGAGATAGAATTAATCCATAATTAAGTTTAGAGTTCCTAGTGACCCTTTAGGTAAAGTTAAGGGGCAAAAATGATCCTTAATCCTATTTATTAATGTTATACTTTTAAGTTACCTAATATTATCAATTAGGAAACTAGTTTTTATTTCTTTCTTTACTCTTATGAATTTTAATTTACAATTGCATTTATCTTTCTTGTTCTTCATGAGATATTATGACTAATTCAATAAGAAATAAATTTAAAAATTCATGTTGACTCAAATTATATTTTCATGATTTGGTTAAAACTATGAGTTGAGACTGATTAGCTTAGATATAATTAGGACACTTTTAACACAATTGTCAATATAATTCACTGAAATAGTAACCTATACGATAAAATGAATAATGAACCCCAATGCTTTTGTAAATTAAAAATCTATATATATTAGAAATTTTTATTATTCGTTATTTTTTCCTTTAATTTTCAACTCAAATTTTTTAACTAAAATTAATTGAAATAACAAAACATTTGTCTTTCTGTAAATTCAACCCTGAAATATTCTAGATAATTTATTAGTGTAATCACATACTGCATATTTTGTGTAGAAGAAAATGAAGATACCAAGTATTCTTAATCGTAAGCACGCAACAATGGCTACATAAAAAAAAAAAAAAAAACGAGTCATTCTATCCATAATGAGATGAGGCACAGTATATTTTTGAAGTTTTCTGTGACATCATAAATTATTAAACTACGTGGATCCAATACCTACTAGCATATATTCTGTAGATACGTTTCAGCTAAGCTTACAATTGCAGAAAATACTGTCTTCTGCGTATCATCTCCAATCCACATTGGCCAAACATAAATTCTGAACAAATGTTCAGAGACAGGCTAGATTTTAACGAAATGGGAGACCTAGTAAGTTTGGGGCAATATGTGTGCGTGTGCGTGTGCACGCGTGCGTGTGTAAGCTACTCAATGCCGTTAGTTCAGACAGCTCAATAGGAGCCTCGAGTGGATACAGCTATAGCCTTAAAGACACAAGTCAATTACTCAATTGTGGGAAGTTCATCTCAGAAGCTAGAAGTTGACATTAATATTTTTAAATTAAATAAAAATTTTTATTGCTAAAATAAAAGTTAAAAGGAAAAAAAATGGTTTAACTGTTGTAAGTTTCAAATTTTTGTTAGATTTTCAAAATTCGCTCAAATCATTGTAGGCTAAATCAAGTCAACTACTAGAATGAGTTAAATGATTAACCCAAACTACTTTTTTTATTAGGTGATAATTTGATCGGCCTGATTGTGTGGTTTAGTCCAAGTCTCAAAACATTGATTACAAATGCATTCCCTTGTAATTCCATCATGAATTTTTAAATTTATTTCTTATATAAAACATTGATTACAAAACATTGACTTGGTTACAGTAGGTAAGCAGTTTAAAGTACTAGTTTTGTTTACTGTCTTGAAAGATAACAAATGCAAGTAAAGTTGCAGAATCCTTTTGCCTTGTCAAATTTTGAAGCAAGAGTCCCAAGTCTACACTAATGCATAATCTAATGGGCTTCGGTTTAAACATCATAAAAGTTGAACTTTCTACACATTACAGCCACTGGTACAAAATCATAGAACTTGAACTAATGCATAACCAGCAAGCCGATTATTTGGCACTAGAACATGACTATTGATCACTCCTTTAGAGAAAGTAATAAATGTACAAGTAGCTAGCTCATGAAGCTTGTGATAGCTAGATTGTGTTGTTTTAACAGATCCTTATTGAAGGTGTCACAGTTTGCTAGCTACTTATGTGGGCAGTGCTTAGAGTTCTATTGCTTTGTTGTTTATTGTTCGCTTGTGAGGCATCAGAAGTCCACTCTGTCAATAGCAGAAATTAATCTCCCTAGGATGTTAAGGACAAAAGGTAAACTTCTCTCGACCAAGTTACTACACATACAAAGATTGAATTTGTATCCCTAACAACTTAAGTGATGAGAGTCCCCACATGCCAAACTGAATTGGTAAGTGTTATTGCTTTTGTCTATGTAATTTACATGATTTCTTCCATAGCCTTATATTGAAAATAAAATAAAAATCCTGAGACCAACAAAAGCAACTGGCATATATTATTAAAAACCCCTTAATGGATTTCATAGCTTCATTTTTTCTACTTCAAGTAACAAAATAATATTTCAATGAACGAAACATTTGTTGATAAACCAAGCATCAGCAATAGTTTCTTATCGCATCACTGTAAATATTGCTTGATTATTGATTCCATCAAACAGGCAAATGCAGACAAAATCAGACCAAAAGAGTACTAAAGAAAGCAAGAATCAAATTAGCCACACTAATGTGCATTTTATCTCTACTATTACAAACCGTGAAGAAAATAACTAACAGAATCTAGTCACTGAGAATCTGTTTCAACAATCAAAACCAAATTGAAAGCACCACACAGGGATTCACTGAAAAAACTGGGTTTCAAAAATCACAACACGTATGCCTGTGTATATTTATCATCATATCCTAAATGTCTCATCCAATTTCAGATGGTTGATGGCAGCTGTAAAACTCAAGCATCCATGTTGATGGCAATCTTGTTTGCATCTTTTAGAGTAAAATTACACGGACTCAAAACAATGTTTCTCTATACCAGTAAAATTTAAGATTCATGTTCATCTGGTTGAACATGATCAGAGGGTGCATGTTGCACTTCTCCGTTCTCATTAATTTCAGATGGGTGCTCAGTTGGAGGAGGTTGCTCTGCATTTTCATTGTTATTCTCTGGATGGAAATTGATGGGGAACTTAGTAACCCTAGGTTTATCAGATAATATGTTCCTTTGAACCTTATCAATCAAAACCTTTGGCGGAGGTTCCTCTCTTAGGTGCTCATCCTCATAGTCATTGTTCACATAGTATCCCACTCTGACAAATTCCTGACCCAGATAAGAGCAGGTCAATAGGAGCACTGTGACCCCAATAATATCTTCTTCACGAATCTTTGATGGGTCTGGTGGATCTGCCTGCAAAATGTCAAAAAGAATTTCCATATCATATCGCATTTATATCACAAAATCCATGAGTAATACTGTGCATGAAGCTTGCCTGTAATACAAAGCGATAGTTTCCAACATTGACAGGACCAACAAGCACACTCTCTAGTAATTGATCATACGTTTCATCCTCAGCAGATCCAACATAAATGAGCTTCCATTCCAAATCTGTCCTCAGGTGACAAAATAAGCCTTGTCAGTTTCACAATCAGAGTAAAGCATGTGAAACAATGGTTAAATCTTATATATAAAAAAAAATAATGGTTAAAAAGGGAGAAGCAAAATATTAGGAAACACTAACAGCAACATCCCATAAGATTTTCCCTTCATGAATCAAAGCAGGAAACATGATAGAAAATCAAAAGTTACAACAATATTAACCTATACTTGCTAATACGATCTACAATTGCATGAAAATTTTGGTCAGTTTGTTCACAGAAAATGACTTTTTGAAATACATTTTCAACAATCAATTGAATGCTGTATTAGTAGATCAATCAGCAAAAGGCATATCATTTTCCTTGATTGGTGAAGCATGGCTAGCGAGTGAATGAAAACATTGCAAGCGAACTACGCAACAAATTCAAATATAAGATATCTCAAGGGATGTATCACTTCCTGGGAATATCAATCCTACTAAAAGATCAATTATAATAAAACACTTCCCATGAAAGAGGAAAGATTTTTGACATTTATCATGTCAGTTTCAATTTATTAGAGCATTAGCATGAACTACTACCCCAATTTAAGGCTAGTTTTAGATTGAGCTAGTTCAACATTACTTCTTTGAAATTAGGGAGAATGACATTTAAGGCCCTTTCAAGGAAACCACAATAAAACCCATTAGTTTTGCATTGGATGTTATCCTGTGAAAACACGCATATGTTGTTGTTAAAAAACTAAACCTTGTCCTTTTTGTTAGGATTTCCTTAGAAATTTAACAAGTTGAAGTTCAACTTTTAACAACAACATATACGTGTTTTCACAAGACATGTTCAATGCAAAACTAATGGGGCCTTATTGTGATAAATTCCCTTGAAAAGGCCTTAAATGTCATTCTCCCTTGATATTATGATTGACTAAAGTCAAAATAATACAAAACAAATAAAAGATGCACCGCCAATACCATATTATGATTTTCATTATGATTTATGATTGGGGAGTTACAAACTAGGATCTCTGATGTTTCCATCTAACGTTCATTATGATTTGTTAATGTTAATTAGGAAGCCTACAAACTAAGCCCAGATGTAGGAAATGACCCCGCATAACTTTTGAGATCTTGGAAGAGTTTTAGGTTTTCTTCACTATTTTTCTACTATGTTCCATATCAATCATATTGTCCTCATGCTCTCACTTAAGCTCCAATGTTATGCTAATCAGCACTATCATCATTTTTTAGGCTAGGAAACTACCATCATTTATCCAAAACTTGTGCATTTTAAGCAATATCACATCCCAAGACATTACACTAAAATATCATAGCAAGTATAATCTCCTCGATAAGACAAGGAATTTACACTTGCTTTGCAAATCCAACAACAGATAAGATTCATTAATACATAGAATCCAGGTCCATAAAATACTTGTTAAACTTATCAAAACACAAATGTCAACAAAAGCAGCATACCAATTAGCTACGTTTATAAACTAAAATAGCGTTTTAAAAAAAAAGTATCATTTAGCTAAATTTATCAAGTATTCTTCGCTTTAGAGACCAATCTAAGATATCACACTTTGATGCAATACAGATTCATTGTTATCCAAAGGACATATAAGCTTCTTCAAAGACCAAGGACGAAACCCTAATCATACATATCACGAGAAAAAGATATTTGAACATCTCCTCTGTGGTAATACAACAAACAAGTAACTTTTATTTTCACTTCAATGTCCCTAGAAGCGTCCAAATTAAGGAAAAGGAAAGCAAATTCCAAACCAAGAGTAACCCTAGACTTATTGGCGATGCAGAGAGACTTTTTGCGTTTGAAAACTATTGACATATAGAGTCGGCAAAAAGGATGAATGAAAAGCAGTACCGTCTTTGAGAGGAGTCAAGCACTCATAGGAAATCTCGAACTGAAAAGGGGTTAAGAACGAAGCGGGATTGTCAAGTACGGTAACGTTGGTGATGTTCACAGCACTCATTGCTCCAAATCAGACAGAGAAAAAGAGCATGCCAGAAGAAAGCATGAAGGTTAACAAAACCCTATCGAAACCTCAGCAAGCTTCAAAGAGTAAAGATCATCACAGAGGAAATCCAGGAGCTGAAGAAGAGAGATGAAGGAAGGAAATGGAGAGAATCGAATATTGGAGCTTCTTTCTTAAATGTTGGGGAAACAAAAGAAGTGGCAAAGAATGAAGGCTGAGGCAAATGGAGCAATGGGTCTCTACCGGAACGTGACCGGAGATAGACGGTCACGGTATCTGGCGGGAAGTTTCGAAACAACTTCTTTCGCGGAGGGAAACTTAATTTTTAGAACTCTTACCTTAACATTCTTTTATTATTTCAAGTTTACTCTGCTAGTTTAAATTTTAAGTGTTAGAACTGAATTTTTCAATTCAATAAATAAATTAAAAAAATTCGAGAAACAAATTAAAACCGTAAATATAAGCAAAAACTGAAAAACTGAATACTTTTTTTTTAAAAAAATAAGAATAAAAGTTTGCAACTTGATGCATCATTACACATACAGTGCTTTACAACCTTCCATCTCAGTTTTTAAAATATCTTTAGACAAAATCATGTATATCAATGAAATTCATCAAAAATATTAGGAAGAATCACATTGCAAGTTTCAAAAAAGTCAAAAATTACACTGCCGGCTCAATAAATTTTATTATTACACTATAGGTTCAAGAGCACTTGTTACAAGTTTTATTGGGTGCAAAGTACAATTTTGCCCATATATAAATTGAAAACTCAGATGATGCACAATACAATATTTATCAATACATAACACAATATCTATACATGTCTAATTGATTAGTGAGTTTAATAAACTGTACAAGTGACACATACAATATACAACACAATATTCATACATTCTCAACTAAATATTTATATGTGGACACACATGAACATTGTTTTGAGAATTCATGACTATTGTGTTGTGCACTTATGAATATCGTGTAGTACATTTATAAATATTGTGTTGTATATGCAAATAAATAGTTAATATTATATTGTGCATTTATGGATATCGTATTATACATAATCTAAGTTTTCAAATCACATAAGAGCAAAATTATACTTTCACTCTCAAAAAAATTTGGAATAAGGGCTCATAGACTTGCAGTGCAATATCAAAATATATTGAGTTCAAAGTGACATTTTGTGTTGTTTTAAGGCTTGCAGTGTGATTCTCCCAAAATATTATACAACCTTCTCTTCTCAAAACAAAAAATATAAATTTTGATATTCTTTTTATTTAATATTCTATTTGTAAAACAATATTAAAAAAAAAGATCATATAATGAAAAGAGTAATATTAAAAAAATATTATTAAATTAGGGTGAAGAATAATATTTGTTAAAGTGTCTTATATTTAAAAAGTAAAATTTTATTTAAAAATATCTTATAAATTAAGACAGAAGAGCATTTCAAAGGGACAAATGTCTAATGATTTTGAACACTTACACAAATCATTATTATCATTTTCTTTTTTGAAGTTAGCGTTAAAGTATAAGTAAATTTAAAATATGTGCAAGCATAAGTCAGCAAGTCTGTCTGTATAGATTGATTCTTAATTTGAAGGAGGTATACACATTTGATCAACAAAATATAGATGCAGCGGGTGGGAAAACAATTAAAGATGAATAGTTAAAACTCAGGTATTTAAACTTATTCAAGTTAACCCAAATAAACTTGAATGTTAAAAAATTACAATTTTTCTTAGTCTGCCCTGAACTTTTTGAATTTATTTGGACTTAGCTCTTCCATACTTCACCCAAATTAGGGATCTTTCCATTTCCTTTACCTCTTCATTTAGATGGAAAGAAAATTAGAAAGGGAGGAAAGTTAAGAGGAATTTTTTTTACAAATAACAAAAAAATTATTATTTTTGAAATTTCTTTTTCCTAATTTTTTCTTCTCTATATTTTCTTCACACTTTTCTCTTTATCAAAACCAAGTATTATTTTCATTTTCCTTCTTTTTCCATTCATTAATGTTAGATCAAAGATGACGTTAGATTTATGATTATCATTATTATGATTTTATTTAGAATTTATGTTATCTTTTAAATAAATAATTTGAATTATGTTCAAATTTATGAGACTATTTCCCCCCCTTTTTTTTTATAAAGAAGGAGAAGCAAGTAAAAAGAAATATAACTACCCTTAGGAACAAGAAAAAAAAAAGAGTAAACTTCCTCTAAAGGGTAGAAAATGAAGACCAATAGGCAATACTAGAGCACATTTTGCCACAAGATCCCCAACTACATTGTCCTCTTTATGAATGTATCCAAGATTCACAGTCTAATCCCAATTAAGCAAATTATGACAGTCAAAGATCAAATCCCAGTGAGCATGAAAATCCTTATATGCATTCTTAATTAGAGCCAGCCTCTAATGAATCACTTCTCAAACTCACATTCCTTTGAACACCATCCCAACCTCTTCAAAGACCAACAAGACATGTCCAAAGCTCAGCCACAAAAGGGATTTCCCTCAAGTAATTTAAGCACAAAAGCTTTTAGAGGAGAATGATGATTGTCTTTAACGATATCACTACACCTTGTATTAAAATTAAGATGAGAATAAACCCCATCTGCAAATACACTAACCCAACCTTCCTGTAAAAGAGGAGTGGCTCTTCACAATACCCTCGAACATGCACTCTCCTCGTAACATTCGTGCCTATGAGACTATTTTCTAATGAGTATAATTTCCTACTTTTGTAATTTCTTTTACTTGAAGATTAAGCTAGCTTTACATTGCTTAGGGCTATAGAGCAAGAATTATCATCTTTGAACTCCATTAATTATGAATAGGAAAAAAAAATCAGGTGGCTAAGACGCCTCTGATTACTTCCAAAAGAAAAAAAAAATTGCTGCTGGTGTCAAATTCATTGATCACTTTATTATTTTTTTCCGGAGTAACAAAACCAAAGTTACATTGAACTCGGATTGAGCTGGGAACTGTTGATGATTGAAACGACTCCATTCTCTGATACGATTGTTTTCTAGTATCCAATTAATGAATAGATATATCCCTTCAATCAAAGATAAGCACAGATGTGTACTGATTTTGAGAAACAATCATTTATTCATTCTAAAGAGGAGCTGAAAGAGCCAACGTTACTAATCAAAGTGAGAACTACGAAACAAACATCCCAATGAACTACCAGCTTTCCCACTACGGCTTCTCAGAAAAATACAAGGGAAACCGTCCTGATACAAACAAAAAGGAGTGGAGTCCACCACCATGGGGCAAAACTTTTCAACAGGATTCTATACCTCAGAACTTTACTGGGTGATAATTTTAACCATAGGTTTAATTGAGGAGTTTGGAGCAAAAGCCTTCAAAATGAACCTGTACTTTTGTCAGAAGTTTCATCCATTAATTGAGGCGTCTAGATAAATCAGACAGCATGAGCAACAGGTTCAGATGCATCTGCTTCTTCCCTGGAAATTGAGGGAGGTCAGTGAAACTGGAGGGAAAAAATTAGTAACAGTAAACTATTTGAAGTTCCGCGATATTAAAAATTCTTACCAAACAAACAAAAACATAGTGACCTTGATCCAGAAAATTATTCAGTTATTATTTGGTTAGGAACTTGCAAGGGATGTAGTAAAGCAAAATCTTTGCCAAAGCAATTTGGTCGTTCAGGAATAGTGAGAAAGAAAAGCATGGAATAAAAAATAGTTATACCCATGTTAAGAATTTACTTGAAATGCACCCAAAGGTATGGTTGTTGATTGAAATATTACTCAACCGTATAATATTTGCATTGACGGTACGGAATTTACCTTCCAATTCCTTCTCCAACTTCCATTCTGAAAAAGCTTCCAACCTTTACAGGTGAACCCACTTCCTCGGATAGATTATCCAGCACCGCCTGCAGAATGACATGATAAACATTAAATAACAAGTGCTCAAACCAATTGTTTTCCTCTTTTGATGAATGCTTCTCATATGATATGCATCGTGAGCATTTAAAACAGAGGGAATCATAATAGAAAGATGAAAAATTATTCCATCCAATACACTTCCCATAAAAATGTGTCAAGCCACATGAAGAACTGCATCTGACAAATGGTTCTTGAACAAAACAAGAATGCTTATTAGCATTGCACACAAAACAGATCACCTTTATTTGCAGGCCTGTGATTTAAACGCTTGTTAAAATCTTCCATGAGATTATTAAACTTAGCTCCGCTATAACAAATTACCCTAATAAATCTATCTAAAGGTAGCCACGTTTCCTTCAATCTCAAACTACTGGAAAAAAAATTCCTATTGCCCTTTCAACGTGGACACAACAACAAGGACACCAATATCCTATTAAATGGAGTTGGCTATATGAATTGTACAAATACCATTGTGTTCTATCAGCAATCAATCCTTTGGATATATTGTTAACCAAAAGGTCTTGCTCAACAACTTTCCTGAATGTTCTAATAAAAACCTAATGAAACCAAGAGGTCTTTTATGAATATATTGTTTTCAACGTGAACACGTCCTAATGAAAACCTAATCTGATGAGCACAATGCTTTAAACATGAAAACATATTCTAGTAGAAAGAAAGGTGTGGTGGCACTCGGCTGGCAAAATAGGGAATGAAGGGTAGCAACTAACTTCAACAACGAATGTGTGACACAAAAGAATGTGTGTCCGTTAGCAGAATACATCTGACATTCTGAGTGAGATAGCGATTATGGACTATGAAGTATGGAGGATGGGATATATCTGGAGTATTTTCAGTTGTGGTTATCCACCACATGATGTTAACATCTAGACCAAGATTTCTGAATCCATCATATATCAGCCCATAGTGCTGAAAATTTGTTTCAATTCTGATGTGACTATAACATTATTAAGGATTTCTGCTTCCACAAGAAACATACAACATACTTATCGGAATACTAACATGCTACCTTATAGTCCAAATTTTTCTCGACAGAGTTTTGTGATAGCCACCAACCACAAAAAACAAAACAAAACAAAACAAAAGAAAATCACCATTGCTCACGAGTAAAATTACTTTGCATATAGCAAAAATCTTTGGCTAAATGACAAGATCCCTTGATCTAGGCCATGCAAATCCTTGAAAAACAAAATTAATCAGAACCTTCCAAGATGAGTTTTCTTCAACCATACTTTGACCATGAGTGATATTCATAGCTCACATGCAAATGATTAGGCCAAAACGCAAAGACAACTCTTCATGATACTATTCAACTTTGAAAGTTAGCAGAAGGATAAAACCAAAAGTTTGGGCCTATGATAAGACATATAAAGTTGAAGGGGTAAATTGCATAACCCACGAACTTGAGAATGGTTCTTTACATTTTTGGCCAAATGCTTAGCACCAGAGTCTAAAGGCATATTAATTTATTAATAAAAGAAGGAGATTGATTTTTATGGCCCACCATATATGGGCAGAGACTTTCTTTCACCAATCAAAATCGTTACGTTGAACAATAAATATCACCATCATAATATTAACTTTTTCATTAATAAATGAGATTTAATTCAGTGAAATCTTACATACCTTTACATTCATAGCATCATTTATGATAAACTTCTGCTCCAAAAGCACAACTTCCTCAAAATATTTACGTAGGCGTCCTTCTACCATTTTTTCTATGGCCATCTGAGGCTTCCCCGAGGCTTCAGCCTGAAAAGTTAAAGACCTAACCCAATAAAAATTGAACACGGTTGTTTTAAAATAGGGTAAAGAAAGTGACATCTAATCACGGGAACTAAGGGTGTTCAAAACCGATCCAAACCGAAAGGACTGATCCAAACCAATCCAAACCGACAAAAACCGATCAAAACCGAACAATAATCAAGTCTGCTTCGGTTTATATATCATAAAAACCGATTGGTTCGGTTCAAGTTCGGTTTTGAGTACTAGAAACCGAACCAAACCGAACCAAACTTGATTAAAAAAATTTTATTTATTTATTTATAAAATATATAACCATGTATCTACAAGAAGCATTTTGTTTTGAATTTTTTATAGTAATAAATAAATATTTTTAAAATACTTGAATGAAAATGCATAATATTAAGTAATTATAATAATCATGCTATGATCATCATTTAATTATTTACAACCTAAAAGCCTCAGCATTCAATTTATCTACAAGAAACATTTTGTTTTAAATTTTGTATAATAAGTTTTTCATTATTTATTAAAATATAGATATATAGATAAACATTTTCAAAGGATTTTAATGAAAATACATAATATTAAATAATTTTAATCTTAAAAACTTATATCAATTTTTATGATTAATTATTGTTATCACATTGAAATTTTATTATATTTTTATACCTCTATTTATGAAAAAAAGGAGTCAAAAAGAATTAAATTTAATTTTAGTACATAGCACCATTATGAAGATGGAGAAAAGGAAAAAAAAATTAAACAAGTGCATTAAAGCTTGATCAATACCTTAACCAAACCGAACCAAACCGAAAATAAAACCGAACCAAACCGAACTTCATAAAAACCGATCAGGTCTCAATTATCAGTAAACCGAATGGTTCGGTTCGGTTTGGTTTTTGCCCAAAACCAAACCAAACCGAACCTGTGAACACCCCTAACGGGAACTATCATGATTTAGAAAGCCAATACTGAAGAAATATTTAGCCAAGTGCATCAAACACCTAAAGAAGAATGCTAAGAGCACCATTTGCTGAAAATTTTACCTTGAGTTATGAACTTGTAAATTCTAGGTTAAATTGGTATTTCAAGAAATTTTATTAGATATACCACTGAAGCTTTAACACTTAATTGAGTTACAAAAGTCCACTTAGATTTTTATAACAACAAGCCCTGCCACCTCAACCGTAGTGACACAAGCACCCATGATTTCTGCTACTCATCTAAACTAGTTTGTACCATGAACTGAATGGGAGATGGGCCGTTAGATTGGAGAATAAAATTTATGCTCAACCAACGCAAAGAATTGTGGACTGATTTGGTCAGCTATTAACCATCGTGAAATAATGTTCATTATTGCAATTAATCACTGATGAGTTAGGAATGTCATTTGGTAGTTTTGACCAGACCGAGTAGTCATATTAGAGTGAATAAGATAAGATATTAAGGTCATTTCTCATGACCTTTCTCTATAAACAGGTTGCTGAAGCTGAATGGTAATAATATATGTCTGTTCATCTTGACAGAGATATATATAATTGAGTTCCAAAAGAAGGGTCTTCCATATGCACACATTCTTTTATTCTTACAAGAAAATGACAAAATCAAGAGCTCTGAAGAAATTGATAACATAATTTTTGCTGAGATTCCAACAAGGATTCATCTCCCTTGCTATATAATTTGGTTAAGACATACATGATGCATGGGCCATGTGGTCAGAGAAATAAAAAGTCCCCCTATATAAAGGATGGAAAATGTAGCAAATACTTTCCCAAAAAATTTAATGACAAAGCAATAGTTGATGAAGATGACTGCCCCACGTATCGAAGGAGGGATGATGGCAAAACAATAGAAAAAAATGATGTTCCTTTAGATAATCATTTTGTTGTGCCATATAATTCTTATTTTCTTTACAAGTTCCAAGCTCATATCAATATTGAGAAAATAAATCAATCAACTTCTATCAAATATTTGTTCAAGTACATAAACAAAGGGAATGATAGAGTTATTGCTTCACTTTATTCAAGTTCTAGTGAAAGGGGTCAATCCATCATTGATGAGATCAAGTAGTACTATGATTGTAGGTATGTCTCCTCCTGTGAAGGGTGTTGGCAAATATTTGCATTTGATATCTACCACAAGCACCCTTCTATTGAGAGGTTAAGTTTCCACCTTCTTAATGAGTAGTACATTGTCTACTCTAATGATCAAGACTTCATTGCTTAATAGACCAAAAGTTTGTGAGTCCATGTTTCTTGCTTGGATAAAGCGTAATCAAGATGAGAAAGATAACTTTGCAAGAACACTTACATATGGCGAATTCCCTTAATATTATGTATGATAATGGAACAATGCGCTGTGGAACAAAAAGGGAGAAGGGTTTCGGAGTGGGTCGGATAGGTCACGCATCATTAGCATCTGGCGAGAGACACTATAATGGGTACCTACATGGGATAGAGAACCCTACCACAAAAGCTACTGTTGAAGTGAGGGAACCAACCTACTTATATACCCCATTGAGCATCCCATACTACTCAACGTGGGACTTGGTATCCCACCCATACTACCAAGTCTCTATCAATTGGCCCCCATGGAAAGCCGACGTCCCGACGGCTACACTTAACAGCACTTAACTTGGTCTCCTTCCGGTTAGAACCCTCTGTGAGTGGCCCTTTTCGGAATCGCCGACAACGACGCTCTGATACCAATTGATGGGTACCTAAATGGGATGAAAAACCCTACCCTAAAAGCTAGTTGCTGAAGTGGGGGAACCAACCCACTTATATACCCATTGAACATATCATACTACTCAATGTGGGACTTGGTATCCCATACTACCAAGTCTCCATCACACTACCTTTGGATTCTATTGACTAAGGTTAAAGGGACCTATTCATATAATGAGATCAAAATTATTGATTAAGGTCATATCTTGCTTTAATTGAATTAATTATGGTCCTTAGTAATCATAAAATACTTTGGATTAATTTAGATTCCCGGATGATCAAAACTAAATTTCAAGACAATTAATACGATAATGAGTGGGTTAGGAATCAAATAGAAGATTAGGAGATTAGGACTTTAAAACGCTCTTTTCTTGGTTGGTTTTAGCTCGTTTATGGATTGAAAGTTATTTTAATTGTGAACTTTGATATTTTAATTTGAATTGTTCTAAAACCACTCAAATTTTATCAGCTTAACGTAAATAAATTTGAAAATTTAGTGCCTAGTTGCCATTTTAATTAATTATCTGTGGGATTGACCTTAATTTTCCACTAGCTACAGTTGCAACCCGTATACTTGCAGTATCTATTGGTTTTTGTGGGCATCAAGTTTTTCATGATTTTTGTGATTTCATAATCTTATCTCAAATTGTCTTATAATTTGAGACGGAGGGAGTAGTTGATAATCTTGGTTTTGAACCAATAGCCTGCACCAATGATCCAATCAGTTTAATGATTTTTTCCCATTTTATGATGAGTTCTAGTCACACTGAAAATTTTTTATTAGCTCTTAAATAGTAGTTGCAAGTTCTTTCAGAGTTTATAGTATAAGCTTACAAGTTGACTTTACAAGAAAGCCATGAGTTGGCTCAAAACTCATAAGTCAACTCAGATTCACACGTTTGACAACCATGACAGGAAGACCTGTTATTCAAGTGGTTGGTACACAAGGTCTTTGAACATGCTTTTGGCAAAACTATGCTAACTTCAGGGGCTTCGGTTTAATTGTTGGAAATTGGAATTAGCTAGTTGGTTCAAAATCTCAAAGGAGGAAAGTGAACCAGACCAGAACCAAACTGTAAGGGTTAAGGCAACAAGCACCCACAGCAAATTATAAGCCAACCTAAAGCACCCAAACCATGTTAATTGATTGGTCTTCCCCTTGAACTGCCCAATGTCTCCCGCCCAATGAAACAAAGACTTCTTGGGATAGTCAGCATAAGGTCAGCTGCATCTCTGTAATTTCAATAAAAGAGACAAGAAAAGTAGGACAAAACAATTCGCAACCAAGCAAGGCTCATTCACATAACCACAAATTTCATTATAATTTGAATGAATAATGGATTTTCAGAGTACTATTTAAAAATATGAATTCAGGCTCAGGCTTATGCCTGTAACAATCGTACCTTTCATAATCTGAAACCTCATGTTAAAAAATAAATAAATAAAGACATGTATATATTTAACCAATTGTTTCAGCAACTTGCTCTATATTCTGAGCTCAGAACCAAGGTCTCACACATAACTCGAATAGAAATGAAAGAGTACCTGAGATTTAAGAATCTCACGCTCATTCTCTAATGCTTCAGAAGAAACAAGTTCCTTTGATAGGAATAATGGTTTTGCTGCCACTACATGCATGGCCAATTCTGATCCTACCCGCTGAAATGCATCCAATTGAGTTTTAATATCATCTACTTCAAGAGACAAAATTCCAGCAATACGACCCAAACCTATTGTTAGCAGAAAGCAAGTCAAGATCCTTCGTGTCTTAAGATTCTGGGATTGCAAAGGAATAGCCATTTGACACAAAATTGTGTTTCAGAAACTAGTAATGATTAATTTATGACTTTTGTTTCAATTTAATGGCTGTAGCACCGTGCTGATGAATGCATAAATAAAAGGAATTGGCTCAATTCAAATTCTTTCACCTGGTTGGGGACTGGTATGGAGGTATGTAGATACGACACCCTGAGATGGTGCTGTCATCACAAAGCCTCTTCTAAGTTTTACATTCTCTCCCATTATTGCAGCCACTTCAGTGATTGCATTTTGAACAGTTGTTTCTCCATTGATCTTTGGATGCTCAAGATTTAACACCATGTCCTGGTAAAAGGACAAAACCATGACATAAATACAAATCTCAAACAAATTTATTTTACTGAAGAAGTAGAGAGACGTGAATGTAAAAATGTCACCTTACAATAAACTAATTTACTCTTTCTAAAATAGGGCCAGTCAAAATAACTTTCTACAGAATGAATGTATGCCAAAACCCACATTAGATTAATTGTTCTTATTCTGAAAATCATCCTATCAAAAATTAATAAGTATCAAAAAACAAAATTGTTATATACACCCTCAGTTAATCTATAAATTAATGTACATGATAAATTTAAAATAAAAAGCTTCTAACTATTTGTTTGTGAGCTTATAAATATATAATCACATCCTATGGCCAATTCTTAAAAGGTGTAAAAGTCCCAAATCTTACTCTGCTGTCAATTGATTTCTCTACAGACAAACACGTTCGTGCATGCATGTGTGCATTATTCAAATAAGATGTCAATATTGGACAGAAGACAGAGATCTAGAATGAAGTCCTATACGCATGTGATCAAATTAGAATCACCATTGGTGTAAGCTGAGGAAAATAACAATCAATTTACCTTCAAAGATTCTGGTCCAACTTGAAAGCTGCCAGAAGCCTGCTGAGAAGCATTTTCAACCAACAAAGCTTGCTTTGCCAAAGACAATGCCTATGAAAATAACAACAATATTGCAAAATTAAAGGCTAACTCAGGAAGAAATTTGTAATGAGGAACAGAAAGAATGTATATATTGAGAAGGAAGAGCTAATAGTGAGTTCGTTCACTATGCATAAATTTGAAAATAAATACGAGATAGATAAACTTACCAAGTACTGAAAAATCTCGTTTCTTGCAACAAAGTCAGTTTCGCAGTTAAGTTCAATAACAGCGGTCTTGTTCTCGTTTTGGGCCAGAGCAAGCAAACCTTCTGCAGCAGTTCGAGATGACTTTTTTGAAGCCAGAACCTTTCCCCTCTTCCTCAGTTCCTTCTGAGCCAGCTCTGCATTTTCAAGTTGTCAATTTCTAATTTTTCAAGATACATTCAATGATCTTTGGCTCAATAGGCTAATGATTTTCGTCTCCCACTTGGAGCCAACAATAAATCAGAATTTCACGCTATGACAACATATTATCGATAAGAGAAAGAAGCAACAATATTTAAAAAATTGAGGGGGTCCTGTACCTATGTCCCAATTGGAATCAACAAGAGCCGCTTTAACGTCTTTGATAGGAGCGCTCGTTCTTTCTCTCAGTTGCTTTATAAGATTCGTTTGATCTGAAGCAGCGACGCTGAGTCTTCTAAGAAAAATTCCTATACCCAATTGCGAATTGGCATCACCAGAAATAAATGAGGATTCGGAGGAAGCTCTTTTGCGGGCTGAAGTAGTAAAATGCCGCCCATAGCCACTACTATTAACCAACGAAAGCTTTATACAGAGCCGCCTTGCACCTCCGGAGAAAGCCATAACAACAGACAACCAGTAATCTTCAACCTAAGGAATCATTAATTTGTTAACAAAACCTAACAAGAGCTGAACATGAATATGTTCAAAGAAAAGAAACTCCATTCTGATACATTTATCTCCGTTTCTTGGAAGATGAATAAAGAATATTCGAAGAAAAGGCACTGTAATGAAACTGAAATCAGAAGCTACAAGCTTACAGAGCTGAGCAACAACTGCTTCAATGGAGAAGGCGAAGGGCGCGGAGGAGGAGACTCGATGCGAGACAGCAATCAAAAGGCGCTTCAAACTGATTTAGAATTTAGACTGACCCGACCCGCGCGAAAGGTTTAAGGAAAAATTATTTCTATTTCTTTTCAATTTGAAAAATGTTTCTTCGCATGGACTTCCGCGTCTAGAAACAATAACTAGGTCGTATATTAAATGTTAGTTTTTGTATCTTTATTATCCCCACTTTTATTATAAGAGATGGCCGATAATGAGAGTAATTCAACACGTCATATATTGTTGATGTAATGCATGTTTGGATAGGCTCGATAATCAATTTTATAAGTTAAAATCATAATTGTGTGAAAATATATTCAAACACCCTTATTATATGTTAAAATTAATTATAAACTTAAAATTATGTTTTCTTAAAAATATCCAAACCATTATACATGTCATAGTTAATTTTAAATCCAAAATTATATTTTTTTTAAAATATCCAAACACATTTATATATGTCAAAATAAATTATAAACCCAAAATATGATTTGTAAAATAATTTATATAATTTTTAGATAAATTTTAAGAAAAATATAATTAAAAATATGAATTAAAAAACAGGTAATAATAACTTATGAGATAACTATAGTTTTAAATTTATAATTAATTTTGACATTTATGAGATTGTTTGAATATTTTTAAGAAATTCATGATTTTAGATTTATAATTAATTTTAAAATGTAAAATAATAGGTTCTTGGATATTTTTTTAAAAAATATGGTTTTGAATTCCTAATTAATTTTAACATATACCATAGATATTTGGATTTATTTTATAGAACTATGATTCTACCTTATTTTTTATTTTGATTATAATTAATTTCATTAATTAATTTTACAAATCAATTATATATTTCACATAATATAATTAATTATATTTAAAATCAATCATATTAATTAATTTTTTTATAATTAGTAATATTCAACTTAAATTCAAATACACTCATAATCTCGATTTAATTATGGACTAGGGACTTTTTTTGGGCCTGAATAATTGAGGACTTAACTAGATAGATTTTGGACCTTAGCTATGTATGAAACATTATTTCATACCATTTAAAAAGAATTTGAGGAAAGAAGAGTGCAAATTATATTTTATTAATTAACAAACAAATAAAAAAACTATACACTTTTTTTTTTCTAGTGATTGCAATTAACTATATTTTTTTTATTCTTGATATAATGTAGGAAATATTTTTAGTTATTAGAAGATAAAAAAAACTGTTTGAAAAAATATAAAAATTTCATTTTAGTATTTGTTATTCAGTTATACTCAAATATATACAATAATTTATTTAGTCTATTAGACCCACGCAAATTGAAATTTTAAGACATTTTTTATGTTTGAGTTCCTTTCTTCCCCTACAATATACAATTTGCTTTACTTTAAAATTTGTTATTGATTACAAATTAAAGTATAAATAATAATTTATTTTCTTTTCTTTTGACCAAAAAATTATTTTATACTTGTGTATACTAAAAATATAAACAATATTTTATTTTATATAAATTATTTTAGAACAAATTAAAATTGATGTGAGTATTAGAAACTTTTCTTGGAAGTGAATCTCAATTGTTGGGTATGTGGCAATTTAATTAAAATATTTACCACTTACCCTCACTGGCCTACTATATCAAAATAAAATTTGATAGTTAATTCTTTAATACCATAAAAAATATGTGAACATGATATCATAATTTTTCTTACAAAAGACAAAATTTAAAAATACAATTTAAATTTTAAAAAATTTAAAGTATAAAATATAATTGATGTCAACAAATAAATATAGAATATAATTTAAAATATAAATTTAATTTAAATTTAGATTTCTTTTAAACAATAAATTTATCAAAAATAACTTTAATTTATAAAAAGTTTTTAAAAAATAATTGCATCGGATGGCACTGTAGTTCTACACTGCCAATTCAATGCAAATTACAAAGGAGGGAAGATTCGGGAAAAAATACTCCAAATCAAAATGTTTGATGTTTTCATTCCATGAAGATAGTGATTTCTTTTCTTTTCTTTTCTTTTCTTTTTTTGAACAAAGAAGATAGTGATTTCTTTAAAAATTATATATATAACAGGATTTTTAAATCTATAGTATAATAAATTTTAGAAACTAAAAAGCTTGATTATAAATACTGACCTTCATAATTTATGTCACAACTTACATTAAAATAATTTAATTTACACATAATTTTTTTATTAAAAGAAAACTTGATTTTTATGTAAATTTTGAGTCCTAAGAAGAGAAAAATTTTACCAATTGTTATTAACTACATGTATCTTGTTGAAAGATAGGATCAGACATCAAATATGACATTTTTCATTGTGAGATTAAATTGTTTGATTCTATTCAAACCAACATATCAAAATCAACTCTATAATAATAACGAACAGATCATGATAAAATGGCTTATTTTTTAAGTTGCATGAAATATTTAGAAAATATGTCTAATAAATAAGTTTTCCCAAATATTCTCTGTTTTTTTTAGCAAATTTCCCCACATATTCTTAATAAGAAATATTAACACATCTATGTTGTCATAAAATGAGCAATAGTACAATTATGAACCAAAGACTCTTTCACTAGCACATATAAAATCCTTATTGTTAACCCTTGAATAGAGTTGCAGATCATTTTCCTTACAGAAATACAGCGATCCATATAAGCTTTTGAAGAAATTTTTATTGATTTTTCCATTTATAATAATGATAAAAAAAGAAATTAAAGAAGGATTCTATTATAAAAATAATAACATATAATTTTATTTAATTTCATAGGTGCAAAAAGTATAGGTGACATGGTGGATTGAGTTCATACAAAAATTTCTTAAGCTTTTATGAGTCTATATATGTAGCTAGAAAAAGTATAGGAAAATTATTAAAAGAAATTAAAATAAGCCTGTTTAGATCGGAGAAATTAAACTCTAAAAGGGCACAAAAAAGAAAGAAAAAAAAATAGGAATATTATGAACTGTGCGTGTTTATTCATTACCTTAGGATTGTTTATAAGAAAAACATAATAAGATGATGTCTCAATAAATACAAAATGGATCTACAATAATTACAATAAATGTAATCAATCAACCTAAATAAGACAGAAAATTACACTTAATTGAAAATCAAAAATCAGTCATTATCAGACGACGTTAAATCATATTTATTTTACAGCTATTATTCATTGATATTATATATTTTAAATGTAACATTCAACCATGCAACTATTCTACAAAAACAGGATATGATTGGAAGCTGGAGAGAACTACACTTATTCTTAAATAATCATATTGTATCATTCACACTCACATTAATACTTGAACAAGAGTGCGTTTGAGGACAAATAATCTTTCCAATTTCTTGTAAGTTGGGACTGAAACCGAAACGAAGGCGGATTTTGACAATTTCTTCTCATATTGAATAAAAATCTCATCCACAACGTCTTGTTCATCAAAATGCTCCTTCATAAGCTAGCCTTTCCCACACAGTTCTCATGTGCTTACAAATGTTCTGGGCATCAGGTCGTTGCATCTTGCATGTCAATCAAGTCATATATAACAATTTTGACCTCTCAATTTTTAAATCACCATTCTCCTCTAACAGTTGTTTTACCTCTTCTGATGCTGGTGCATGCATAGGTATGTTGAAGCTCTCAGGCTCTGGAATTCAGGAAGCTTTCAATGTCTCTTTGAAATTGTGCAGAATAAGCATCTGAAACGACTTTGTTTTCTTTTGTATAGTGAATTCTTCCTTTATTGTATAGTTTATAAGCAATGAAGAGCATGAGTTTAGTTGAAGACATGAGTGGTTGATTCTGGAAGCAATTTTTCATGAAATGAACCAGCCACAGCTGCTGCACAGTATTGCTTATCCGCAGGTAGAGCACTTGAAAAGTGTGTTGAAGTCATTAATTACCACAATGATCATTGAAGAGCGCTTGAAATTCAAGTGATGAATCTAAACCATGTCCTTGAGATTCTTTAATTCTCGTTTTCTTTTTCTTTTTTGATCCATATCGTCCACCCTTCACTGTCTTGAGTGTGATTTTGATGTCTTAATGCTCTTAAGTGCTGCCTTGCTGATCCTGGGTTAGCAGAGATTGAGTTGAAATCAACCATATCCAGTGTACCATTGCTTTATGAACAATTTGATTTCTTTTCCACCTGATTAAGTTGATTAAGAGGAAAATGTTTCTGATCCATTGAATTTCCCCATCATTAATCAGCTTAGGGATATAAGAAAAAAATCATTACCTTATCCAAAGTTGAAGGATATCAGAAGAATCTATGCCCAGGGGACCAAACCAAACAGCTCTAATTAGAGGACAATCTAGGAAAAGATGAGATAGTGTTTCATCTTGGTCACATCCAAAAGTTTCTAAAGATATCTATATATTTAACTTCAAGAGTGTTTGCCAATAAAGAGCCCTCTTCTTATTTAAATTTAAAATGACACCATGTCATCTATTTTTCATAAAAAATGTGGGGAAAAAATTAGCAACCAAAGACTCTTTCACTAGCACACAATGCAAAATCCCCCATTGTTCACCCTTTAATGGATAATGTTTGACTTCTATATGTATGCAGTTCAATTTCATTACAGATCATCTATAAATATATCAGATTTCGAATGTAAGAAAAGTTATTATTATTATTTTATTGATATTGGATATTTTGAATATACCATCCACAGAATATAACTGATAGAAAATTCAGACCCAAATACAAACACAAACACATTAATACTTAAGCAAGAGCGTGCTTGATGACAAATAATCCTCCCAACTGCCTATAAGAAGGGTCTGGGAAAAGCAAGGTGGCTTCTGCCAATTTCTTCTCAAATTGAATGAAAATCTCATCCATAATGCCTTCTTCTTTAAAATGATTCTTCAAAACCCCTTCAAACGCTGCTCTCATTTCCATACTACCATTCCGGGCATCTACAGCTTGTTGGATCTTGAAGTCATATAATTGATATAATAACTCTGACCTCTCAATTTTGAACTTGCCATTCTTCTCAATCAATTCTTTTACCTCTTCTGATGCTGGCATGTAGACAGGCAAGTTGAAGGAATCAACCTGTTCGTGGCTTATTAAGCCCTTCATTTGCAAAATGAGAATTGGTTAAAACCAAATATCGATATTAACAAAAAAATAATTAAATACGAAATCACATTGGTTCTGTGAAATGATCAAAGAGAGAGATAAACACATGGGAAAAGCAAACCCCACATGTCACATGAGTCCCTCATATAGCTCATCTATCTCTTTTCTTAGCAGAGAATTAGGGTCCGAGTTTGTTATTTTACCTTATTGGCCATCTCCACAAGAACATTTTCCATGCTATTTGCCGCAACTTCAAATACGTTCTTAGAATCTGGTGGGACACATGGAATGATGAGAGTCATGATACCTCCAGGGACAAGTTCTAAGGCTCTTGAGTTCAGAAAGCTTTCAATGTCTTTCGCAAATTGTGCAGAATAAGCCGCTGCAACTTTCTTGTCTTCATTTGTAAAGTAAATTCTGCCATAATTATAAGCATCAGAGTTCTTGTCAACTATGTCTTTAGGAACCCTTGAGAGCCAATGAAGAGCATAAGATGAGTTGAAGACATGAATGCTTGATTCTGGAAACAATCTGCCATGAAACGTACCAGGCACAGCAGCTGCATAGTATTGCTTCTCCTTAGGAAGAGACTTTAAGAGTGTGTTGAAGTCATTATCAGCATGATCATTGAAGAACACTTGAAGTTCAAGTGAGTCTAAGACATGCCGTCCTTGAGATTGAGATTTGAGATTCACAGCGTCTATAATGTTTTGAATAGTGAAAAAGGTGTTAAGTCCAACAGAACAACCTAAATCTGCAATGCGGATAACATTAGAGGAATGCTGGACAAATGATTCAACATCAAGCATCTCAATAATGGCATCTCTGCTAATGTGTTTGGTGATGTCTGCTCCCGTTCGCTGCAAACGAGGATTGAAACATCACACTAATTTGCTTGAAGCAAACAATTTATAAATTATAATTTTCTTAAACAAAGAGTATCTAATAGATACCTAAGTGGGTGAGAAACTCTACTCTAAAAGTTAGTTATTGAGGTGGGAGAACTAGCCCACTATGCATTGAACATCTCATACTACTTAATGTGAGAATTAATATTCCATACTATCAAATCTCTATCAATTTGGCTCCCCATGCGAAAAACTAGTGCCTTGATGCATGGCTGCACTCCATGGCATGCCCAGCCTCTACCTGTCAAAACATGCTATGGGCAGCCTTTTTCAAAATTGCCAACAACAAGACTTTAATGTTAATTGATAGGTATCTAAGTGAGATAAAAGGCCTAGCTATCTCAAAATTTAGGTGTTGAAGTGGGAGAAATAACCCACTTAAATATCCCATACTACCAAATCTCTATCAACTAGCCCTCCAAAAAAATACTGGTATCCCAATTATTACACTCCATGGCACTTAATTTGGCCTCTTGTCAGTCACAACACTCCATGAGTAGTTCTTTTCAAAACTGCTAACAACAAGCCTTTGATATTAATTGATGAATGCCTAGGTGGGATGAGGAATTCTACCCCAAAAACTAGTAATTGAGGTGAGAGAACCAACCTATTTAAATAATTCATTGGGCATGCAAACTACTTATGTGAGAATTACTATTCTATACTGCCAAGTCTCAATCAGTATCTTATGCCATCTGCAGAAACTAATCTCGCTCAGGGTACGAATCATAAGAGGTATATTCCTCCAACAACAACAATTTTGAACTAAAGGCGAAAAAACACACACACACGCAAATGCATACATATGGGTTTAAAAAATTGCAGGTGAGATTCAAAATTCAAGTAGTGGGATTATTGAAGAACCTGACTATTGGAATTTTGAGCATAGCTATATTGGCCTTCCCCACCATTCATTGGGAATGATTCATAAGATTGCGTGCCTTTTTTGCTTTCCATCTTTGTGATCTTTTAATTTTTGTGAGCGTTTGAGAGAGAGACATATATCTGATGAGCATCTCTGCTATTTATAGATGCATGCATATACTGTAAACAAGAGTAGAATTCATTATCATAATTGTTATGTCAGCTTTGGAAAAATACGTGTATGCTTACATCCGACATGATTAATCTTTCAAACATTCACGTATCAGTTAAATACTAACAATAATATTCATGTTTAATAATCTTTGTTGTTTTTGTTTTCTGATCGTTTGAAGAGAACAAGAGTAGAATTCATTATCATAATCATTACGTCAGAATTTGAATACACACATACACTCACAGGTTGTGTGTGTGAAAACAAGAATCACTTGGTCATCAATTTTTCTTGTTTTGGCCGATCAAGTGATCGCAAATCAATTATTGTGATTTTTTCATATTTGCTCATCTGGCTTCAAATTAATTGACTCTTTCATGTACTAATTATTAATTATATATAATTATAAATCAAATAGAATTGAAGTGTTATTACACGTTATAATTTTTTTATCAAGAGTAAATGATAATTTTGGCACTTAGTGGTTTGGCTCAATTCCATCTTGTTAAGTTCGCTGCAGATATAAAATAGCGCAATTAAGTAATATGAAGTTTAAAATATAAGCAGACATGATTCAGGAGGAAAGAAAAACTATATGCAAGTGAATATTATTACATTCAAACCATGAAAAATGAAGTTTTGATCATTTTCATTCATGAAAAATGCAGGCATACATAATTGGTACAAAATAGATATGATATGATGTGAGCAATGTAGAAACAAATAACTTTGAATTGGTGCTGTGATAACAAATGGACTTGTATAATTAAATTAGTGTTTGTTTATAATGAAATTGATGCATTTAAAATATCAATGACAAATTAAGTACATAAATTTTAAATCTAATACCATCCCATCCAAGATTACCTGTTTACATCTCTTCTGTCGGAACCAAGGGTAAACGACCTTATCTCTTAAGTAAAGAAATGTTGTTGTTTTTTGACCAGCAATTAAAGAAATGTTGTTGAAAAGTCGTCTTTCTGTTGCTTCTTCTCTTTATTTCTTATTTCTTGTCTAATCTTAGTCCCATGTTATCTTGAAAATCAAGTGTACAATTAAAAATTAAATAACCAATATAGTTGACAATGACTATCATAATGATAATTATGGCCATGTGCAACCAGCTTAAAATTAGTAATGATATATTAATATAAAATTAAAACTAATTTCTTAATATAATATTATATGTAAAATTAATTTGTCATTATTTTGTATTTATAATTTTTTAAATACATGTAGTTTTATATATCTTTCATTGTCTTTTATTATTTTATGGGTTAAAAGGAAACCCTTCCTTTAAACTATAATTAAGTGCAAGAATGTCTGGACCTTAAACTCATTTGTAGTATAATGTTTCCCTTCAACTTTTTAAAATGATGCAATGTCATCTCTATTATTAACAAAAGTTAATTTCTATTGTTATTTGACCAAAAAATTATAGAAAAAAGACAAAAAAATTATAAATAAGCATCATATATATAAAAAATTATCCCAATTAAAATTCAATTTTGACCGATTACTGAGAAGTTATCAAACCATCATTATTTTCAGAAATTAACTTGTAAATTGTGTGTGAAGATTTGTAAATAATAATAATATTTAAATCATTATATATTAACTTATTAATATTTTAATAAGACATTATTAAAGTAAGCATAATATATTTAGTTAAAATGGTAGCTGATTAAAGTAGCTAATTATAAAATTATATTTTGGTCTTTTATATGAGAAAAAATAACATTTATCTTTTGATATTTATTTGTAATTTAGAAAACTTAATTGGTATTAATTTTTTATAGAGTGCATAGTTGTAATTTTTTATTTATTTTATAATTTTTTAGATTTTTTTTATAATTTTCTGATCAAATAATGATTAAAGTAAACAGTTATTAATAATAGCACCAACATTACATCATTTTTAAAAATTAAAAAAAAATCGTACATAAAAATAAATTTAGGATCTTTAGTATTTATGAATTTATAATTTAAGAGTGAAACTATCATCTAACTCTTATCTTATTCATTTGTCTTACTTTATAGCTGCATGTTTTACTTTCTTAATAAGTTCCACTTGTCATGTATCATAACGTTGGTACTTTATTATAGTGATAAAAAGTTGTACAGTTGGCCGCACAGAAAAAGCTCCAATGTTTGTTTCACCTTCATGAGTACAAAAATCTTTAACAACCACAACAAAAGTTAAATAAGGTTGGTTATATGAACTACATGATATTATTATGCTTTACTTAAAACAATTTTTTTAATTAATGATACAAATATGTTCATTGAGAAAATATATTGAGAATTTCTCAAATGAAAAGGCAAAATAAACTTTTGCTAATTTTTTGTCTTGGATCAAATAAATTTGGGTATGACCAATATAAAGAAAGAAGGGTTAAAGGATAAATTTACTTTAAAAGTTTTTTGCAAATTGCAATTAGTGTTTTTAACTTTCAATTGATGTAATGTTTTATTAGAATTAGAAGTTTAAAATTAGAGTAATATCGCTAGATAATTGTAATGTTTGGTCAATGATGTTGACTGTTAATTAAGTAGTTCAAAAGGTTAAAAAGGCAATTTTAATTATTGTTAAAATTGAATAACATAATATTTGAATAATAAATTTATTGTTGATATTTTAAATATGTCAATTTCATTCTGGATAAATAAACACTTATTTGTACATGCATACGACCCATTTAAATATGAGAAAAACTTATATATTTAGCTTTATATATTTAAGATACTTGTTTTTAATTAAATCAGGACATGCATATTATTTATAGATTATTTATTTTATAATAAATTATTGTTATTAATATTATTAATATATGAAAATTTACTTGTTTTTAATTTAATTGAATAACAATATATTAAATATATAAATCATTAAATATATAGCTCGTTTGTCACGTTTTGCGTACGTATAAGGCTTGATCTGCCTGTTTTGCTAAACAAATATATCTTTCTTGTAAGATAATCATCACTTGACCCTTAGAAATTGATAGCTTATTATATATGCTACATATATTTATAATACATCATTATCAAGTTGTCGAATACCAATACTTGTTTAATTTTACAGTGAATGATCAACATGTTGGGACTTCTATATTATTAATTAATTCTTTTAATTTTCATAGCGAAATACAAACACAAACACAATACTTAAGCAAGAGTGTGCCTGTACCTTGATGTCAAGTAATCCTCCCAATTGCTTGTAAGTTGGGTGATTTTGCCAATTTCTTCTGATATTGAATGAAAATCTCATCCACAAGTAATGCCTTCTTTAAAATGTTGCTTCAAAAGCCCTTCAAACGTTGCTCTCATGTGCATACAAGCTTTTCGGATATCTGCTAGTTGGATGATCTTGTCAAATATAATAATGGATATAATAATTCTGACTTCTCAATTTTGAAGTTGCCATTCTTCTCAATCAGTTCTTTTACCTCTTGTGATGGAATGTAGATAGGAATGTTGAAGGAATCTAACAGCTCATGGCTTATTAAGCCCTTCATTTGCAAAATTGAGTTGATTAAAATAAGAGATCAATATTAACAAAAGAATAATTAACTAAAAATTATGATGAAGTGGATTGCACGAATTATGTAATCACACGGAGAATATTTCCTTCTATTTCTCCACTACAATAATACTCTCTCTAATCATATTCATATATATGTATATATATGTATAAAAGTTGCTCTCTAAAAGAAATTAATTGTCCTGTTGGATTAATTCTAGAGCATCGTGCTCTTTAAATGAACCAAGCACATCAGAGGAGCTTTGTCCTTAATGAGTTTGAGATCAATGAATATAAGTTTTCAAGATCCTTTATTACAATTTTCTTAGAGTCTCTAATAAGCTTTTCAAGAGTCTTAGCAAATGAAAATGTTTGCAAGGAAGCAACCATTCATTGCTTGGAAATGAGCATAAGTTTGGAAATGCAAAGGCTTCAATGAATGGTGTGAGAAGCAAAGTAATAAATCTAGATAACAGAGAAAGGGTCACGTAGGATGTGCGCTTTGCCGAGTGCTACGTGTTTCTCGAGAACGTGTGTATGAGTGCAGCTTGGACCTGGTTGCCGCCCCTTTAACCACAACGTGCCATTAATATTTAATATGATGGAGGTCTAACCACTAAGCTTTATCAGGTTGGGCTTCTCTTAGTTTTTCTCATTTTTTTGGGTCAATAGCAATGAATTTGGCCTATAGATTATTTTTAACCCAAGCATTTTTTTACAAGTCACTTTGTATAAAAAGATTGATCATTACTTACTCACTTTTAATTTTATCCTTTCACAGTTTCCTATAAGTAAAGTAAAATGTTACACATGAGAGAAAACGTGTGCTGTGAAACGGGAAGAGAAAAGGGAGAAAAGAGAGAAAGAGTATAGAGAGAGAAATGAAAATGAGAGAGAAAGGAGAAGCGGGAATATCAAAATTCTCAGAAATTATATTCAATATTTATAAAAAAATACTCCATACAAATGAGAACCATATATTTATTTATAGAGTTTTAAAAACAATAAATTTAAATCTAATTCAATCTCAAACTCAAATCATAATCTATCTAAAATCAAAAAATAATGACAAGGTACTTAGTTAATCTAGATATTTTATTTTATTTAAAATAATAAATAAATTTTAGATACCAAATCAAATATACTAAACTACAAAATCAAATAATATTAAGCCCTAATTATTCTAATCACCCATTATCCCATCTTACATCATTTTTCTCCCACTTGAAGAATTCATCTCTCTATGAGTTAAAATTGATGTATAAATTTGGGGAGGGACAAGCAACATAAAATTTTAACTTGGTGCATAGATTTGGATATCCTTTCCAATAGGTGACATAGTGAGGGGCTGAGTCATATGGAGGACATATTTGATTATTTTGAATATTTGAAAAAGCTTTCCAACAAATAAGATATTGTTGAAGCTTCTTGCTATGAGACAAGACATCCTCAATGGGTGTAACTCATAGATGTCTTAAAATTATAGCGCAATGAGGTTGGTTTTGACTAATCACATGGGAAAGAGCCACTTGTATAGTAGGTAAAGGAGCTTTTTGATAAAAATACTATAAGTAATTTATAAATAGGATTAGAGAGAGAGAGAGAGAGAGAGTGTGTGTGTGTGTGTGTGTGTTTCTGTACCCATATAATAGAATTTGGAAAATTGATGTATTTGAAGTATTGTACTATATGTATCGTATTTGATACATGTATATGTATCGATGCTTGTTAGCATCAGTTGCCTATTTGAGTTAGGAGGTGAACTAAGTAACTCATTTGGCTTGTACTCTTTCTCTTGTAAAATGTAATTAAGTAGATCTCCAAGAGTTTAAATGATATGGGGCAACCGAAAGATAACTTACAATAAGCTAAAATTCTACGACGTGTTATCTCACAAAGAACAACACTAATCAAAATAGCTTTACAATTGAAAAAAATTCAATTCATAAATTCAACAAATCTCTTCAAAATACTAATAGTTTAACTATTAAATAGACTTCTAAAAATCTAAATGATGCAATTCTAGTTAACTTAGAATTCCAAATAGATAGATCATATCCTAATGGATATATTTTATCGTTGTTTGAATTTAAAACAAAATAAATAAATTTTCATAAACTTAAATATGAAAATAAAATAAACTAATTTCCTAAATTTAAAAAGAATAACATTAACTAAACTAAATAAACTCATGGGCTTGATATTTTATTTAGGCTTAATATGCTAAGAGTCTTTCTTGAATCTTCTAGAACTCCAGTTGCTTCTAGAATTCCTTAATCATTTAGAACTTCCTTAATTAATAAATTTAGGGTTTCTTTCATCTTTTTAGCTTTGGATCTAATCATTGGTTCTTAATACCTTGCAATGAATCAAAAGTTCTAAACATTGAATTTTGACTCATCCCTTGATTGCCATTATTAAATTTGTACATGAATGTGTAACGGGATTTTGGTCAGCAAATTACACTAATTAAGATGGTCATGGAAAATTTGAGGTACACAACTTTGAATATTGTTAGGGCTAGCAAATCCATCATTGTTGAATCAAGCTTTAACCCAAGCCCACATTGTTAAATGGGGCTTACATGGATATTAATAAGATGTTTGGGTCCTTGAGTTCAATATCCCACTTCCTTATTTAAATGGTGTGTCAAAATAGTTTCAAGATGGAGCAGGGTTTCAATGCTTGTCACCCTAGCGAGCACCGTGGGTGATGAGATCTAAACTGTTTGGATTTTAATATGAACAATTTGAATTCAAAGGTTATCATTTTGTTTTTATTAAAAATAAAATTTACACAAATTTTAATAAATCTATTTTATTACCAATTTGGATGACACAAATTTAATTTGGATGTTTCAATTTAATATTAAAAATTTTATAATTTTTATAAACTGACAAATAGATGTACTCTGAATAGTCTAAATTAAAATTTTTTAACTCATAACTTTTTTCAGAAAAATATTTTTTGAAATTGTCATTTTGGATATTATCTTCATTATTTTTAATATTCTATTTACCAAGATAAAAATTTTAAAAATTTTAATAATAAAACTAGACTACCTAAAATATATCTGGATAGTTAATTCATAAAAATTATAAAAACTTATCATATTCAATTGGATCATTTAAATTAAATTTATATTATCTAGATTAATAATAAAGTAGATTTAGAACTCATCACTATGATGAGTACTATGATGCTCATTGGGTTGATGAGCACCGAAGCTTGTTCCATTTCGGGATATGCACGATCCAAAAACCATCCAACATGTATGGGAGTTAAATGAGTGGTGGAGGCTACAGTGAAAGTTGAATCATTTCATTTTGAAAAAGAAGCACTCAAAATTCTTTATTTTCTCTTCCTTCTTATGGGTGAATTTGCTGTAAGCCCGGACCAAATTCATACTTCAACTCCGTTCTTGCATAGAGGTTTCATCGGGTATAACTAATAGGTATGTTTTCAAACTCCATTTTTTTCCCCACATATGTATACGGAAGTTCTTGTTGTAAGTGTCGCGCAATGTTCAAGAAACATATCTAGTGTCTATATTTCATACGGTCTTTTCCCCAAAAGATATAGAATCTATATAATTAAGTTTTTCTAAAAAATAGTCTTAATTGGATTTAACATCTCAATCAACTGAATGGTTCTACATTTCTCTTTACGAGAAATGACTGCCATCTATTTTTTTTTTGTGGGTAAAAATGAGGAAATACGAGTAGGAACCAGAGATCTTTTCACTCGCAAAATAGAAAAGTAGTCCCCATTGTCGACACTTCAATATGGAGAATAGTGGCATATAAAAAATTATAATTAAGAGAAGTTACATTGCCATGATTCTAAGAACCATGACAAAAATACAACTTCATTTTTTTTTGGCAATCTCTGATTCTCCAATAATCATTTTGTTTCATTCAAAATATTTAACATTGACCTTGATGACAAATAATCCTCCCAAGCGCTTGTAAGTTGGGTCTGAAACTGAAAGCAAGTTGGATTCTGCCAATTTGTTCTCATATTGAAGGAATATGTCATCCACAATCTCTTGCTCAAAATGCTCCTTGAAAAGCCCTTCCCACGCAGCTCTCATTTGCATGCATATCTTCTGGGAATCTGGTTCTTGCTTCTTGTCAATTAAGCGAAATAATAATTCTGACCTCTCAACTTTGAAATTCCCATTCTTCTCAATCAATACTTTTACCTCTTTTGATGTTGGTACGTACATAGGTACGTTGAAGGAATCTACCAATTCATTGCTTATTAAGCCCTTCATTCACCAAATAAGTTAGTTAAAATCAAATATCCAAGTTAAAAAAAGAATAATCAACTCAAAAATTAAGAAAGTGGATTCATGTTTTTAGGATATCTAAATGTGAATGAACTTGAATTGATATGAGAAATTCTTCAGAGTTAAATTTAATGACTAATATATATAACAAAGTAGAAAGATTCATAAATTTAAATTTTGAGTTGAGATGAGATAGTTTTTAGGCTCATAAACTTAAGTCTTGAATTTTTGAGTTGGAAGGACACTTCGTACATTTGATTTGAAACCTCAAAGTTCAAACTTTTAAGTCTTTCTACTTTATTATATAGTAGTTATTAGAGAAATCATATTCAAGGACCTAATAAGAAACTTATTCATAATCAATAGCTAATAACAAGTCCAATTAAAGGAAAAAACAAATCTATTTTTTCATTTTAATAATAATTCATTTTATATTGGTTTTTGTCTGTGAATAAGTTTTTTGTTAAGTTCTTAGATGTGATTCTCTGTGGTTATTATATCCTACTTTATCTAATGTCATGGGACTGCCAACATTAGCCAAGTCTACCCACAATTGGATAACCTAATGTGCACATGGATTATGAAATCATACAGAGAGACTATTTAATTAATTTGTTGTCATTTACCTTATCGGCCATCTCCACAAGAACATTCCCCATGATATTTGCAATATCTTCAAATCCGTTCCCTGAATTCGGCGGGACACAGAGAATGATAAGAGTCATGATACCTCCAGGAACAAGTTCCAAGGCTCTTGAATTCAGAAAGCTTTCCATGTCTCTTTCAAATTGTGCAGAATAAGCCTCTGCAACTTTCTTATCTTCATTTGTAAAGTAAATTCTGCCTTTATTATTTGCAGGAGAATTCTTGTCAACTACGTCTTTGGGCACCCTTGAGAGCCACTGAAGAGCGTAAGATGACTTGAAGACATGAATGCTTGATTCTGGAAACAATCTGCCATGAAATGAACCAGCCACTGCTGCTGCATAGTATTGCTTGTCCTCAGGAAGAGACTTGAGAAGTGTGTTGAAGTCATTACCAGCATGATCATTGAAGAACACTTGAAATTCAAGTGATGAATCTAAACCATGTCCTTGAGATTGAAACTTGAGGTTCACAGAGTCTATGATGTTTTGGACAGTGAAGAATGTGTTAGGTCCAACTGAACAACCCAAATCTGCTATACGGAAAACATTAGAGGAATGTTGCAAAGCCGTTTCAAGATCAAGATTCTCAAGAATGGCTTCTTTTGCGATGTGTTTGGTAATATCTGCTCCCTTTCGCTGCAATCAATGATTGAACTTTTGAATGAAGCAAACTATTTAGAAACGCGTTTGCATTTCTTTTTGGTATGTGCATGGAAGCTTTTGAACTGAAAGATACATATAAACACACACACACACACACATATTTTGATTAAAAAATTGCCAATTAGCAATTCAAAATTTCAAAAGCAAGAAAAAAGCAGGAAATAGAACAGCAATGGTTCTTTAAAGAATAGAAGAGAAAAGACATGAACAAGAAAAGGTTTTACACACTTCAAGCTGTGAACAACACATTCCTTAAATCTTAACTTAGATGGGGAGAAAAATAGAAGGAAGAGAAAACTAAGAGGGAAAACACTCAAAAATAGTTAATTTTTTTGTTGGAAATTTTCTTTCCTAATTTTCTTTCATTCTTATTTTCTTCCTACTTTTCCCTTCATGTAAACCAAGTCTGGTCTCTACCTATATGTTCCAAACCTGCAGTTTGGGTTGATGGTGAAATTTCTTTACAATGTAAATGATGTCCCTTAATTAAGGATGATTTGTATTTCCTAAACTCAAACCAAAATCACAATCATTTTGTAAGTGATACAGTTTGCTTTTAATTTTTAATTGTGCATTCAAATTAATGTAAATGAAAATGAATTTTCGTATCTCTGGAAATAACGTGACTCTTTAAAGAGACAAAACTTTGTGACATATTTTCATGAATCTTTTGATGTTTTATATGAACCATGTGACCCATGAATAGACACAAAGAGACACCCTATCTCTTGATGAAAATATATCAAGCTTTCAATTTTTAATTGAACATTCAAATCAAGGTAAAGGCAAATGAATTTTTGTATCTCTGGAAATAACGTGAGTCTTTAAAGAGACAAAACTTTGTGATATATTTTCATGAATATTTTGATGTTTTATATGAACCATGTGACTCATGAAGAGACCCAAAGAAACACCCTATCTCTTGATGATTCATGGGCCTTATGACCTTTCATGAATCATCTCTAAAGTCTTGGCTTGTAATTTATAAAGTCCTTCAAAAAGTCATACCTTTCTAAATAATTTATGAATATTTTCATTTTTGAAAATCATCTCACACATAGAGGAGATAAAAAAGAATGTTAAATGAAACAAAAAAGAAGTGAAACACTGAGGTTGATAAATTAATTAAAGAGCTAACAAATTGCACTTTTCATTGTTCGAGAACAAAGAAAAACTACTAGATTTTTTAATAGGGAAAATTGCTAAAAAGTATTTAATGGAAAAGATAATCAATATTGAAAAAGGGCTATAAGAAATTTCCCTTAAAAATAAGCCATAAACACGAAAGAAAAGGAACAGAAAACAAAAATTAAAATGCAGAACATGGAAGACTATTTGCAGATTTTTGATGAAGTACTACATTTTAAGAAAATTATGATCTTATTAATAAAAAAATAAATATATAAAAGAAGAAAGTGGGGAAAAAATAATTAAACTGGTGAGAATGAAGAACCTGATAGTTGGAATTTTGAGCATAACTATATTGGCCTTCTCCACCATTCATTGGGAATGCTTCGTAAGATTGGTTGCCTCTTATGCTTTCCATCTCTGTGATATTTTTGTACATGAGCGTTTGAGAGACAAATAGATATAAATACATACATACATACATATATTATATATATGATAAACATCAATATTACACACACATACACATGTACACTGTAACAATGGCTGAATTCATTATCATTGTCTCGTCAGATGTCGAGAAAATAGATACATCCTAGCATGTTTGTAGATGAAAACTATAGATCTACTTGGTCATCGATACTTTTCTTGTTTAGGCCGATCACGTCATCACAAATTAATGATTTATACAAATATTAACACTTTCATGTACTTAGTATTAATTAACAATACTCATATTTAATAATCTTTAATTTCAAAAAATTAAATCATATTTTTTAAATTATAATAATTGGAATGGAAGAGAAGTTAGATGTCTTTACCCGTAACAATATTGTGAGTGGATGATAATTTGGCACCTAGCAGAGTCGTTCGGCCCAAATTTCTATTCTACCTCGTCACATTAGCACATGGATATTGTCATATCCAATACATATAAGCACGATATATCCAATCCGGATCCTCGATGTTCACAAAAATGAAAGCATACAATATTCCTTTGGGAGATTAAAAGAAAATAACGAACAAGAAAGTATAGAAGAAGAATGATACATAGGTCTTAAGAGGATTAATTAATTCAACTTAAGTCTAAAGTATTAAATTTTAGAAATTTGTAAATTTGGTTTTGAATTTGATAATTTCATTGTAATTAATTTGCAACTTATATTTTAAATTTTAATAAAGAAAATAAATTTATTTATTTTTCAACCATATTAAAATTTAGAAAACAAGTTATAAATTCATCATAAAGAAGTTATAAAATTGTGAGTCAAATTTAAAAAATGAAATGTTCAAGAGGAGGTTCGAAACCATTTAATTGCTAAACTATCTCTTCTTAGATATGCATGTTGGGTTTTACATGGTGAAAAACGTGAACTTAAAGTCACTTCTCCTAGTGGCCTAGTTAATGTAGGAAATAGAGAATAAGGGAATGAGGTTGATGATCGTATTCATGAATTGGCTTGTGATACTTTTAGGGTGCAAGATCGAAAAATGAAACTTCAATTCAAATTAAGGAATCATCACAAAATCAAAATCAGAGGATAAATAAAGAGACTAAAGAATTTTTTGAATTGGTGTAAGATGGGCAACAGTAATTATATGATAGGTGTGGGAAATATTTGAAATTATCATTCTTGATTAGATTGTACCATATTAAATGCTTGTGTGGTATAGGCAACAAAGCTTTATTTATGATTTTGCAATTATTAGCATATGCCTTTCTATTTGCTAAAATTTTTATGAAGAAGAAAAGACTATTACTAAGTTAGGATTGGAATATAAAAAAATTGGTGTTTGCCTAAATGATTGTATATTATATTGAGGGGAAGATAACAAAAGAGAAACTTGCAAAACATGCAATATATCAAGATGAAAATTGATATAAAAAAACAAGTGAAAAAACTTGTAAAAATTTTGAGATATTTTCCATTGAAGCCATGAATGCAACAACTATTTATGTCATCTAAAATTGCAAAGTATATGAGTTGGCATGCTAATGAAAAAAATGTTGATGATTTGATGAGGCATCCAAAGGATTCTGAAGCATGGAAAAATTTTGATATGACTTATCCAAATTTTGCTTTAGAACTATGAATACCGTATTTTGTCCGGATATTTTTTTTAAATAATAATAAATAATCAAAAAATATAAAAATACAAAAAATGAAATTTAATCCTTTTTTAGGATTATATTTTCAAAAAAAATAATAATCTAACAAAATTAACAAAAAATATAACCTTGCTTAAAATCTTTGCGAAATTATCCTAAACATTTAAGATATTAGGAATAAATTTTTGAAAGTCAACTCTTTTTAAATTTCTTCCTTTAGATGTTGTTGTCTTCCAAAAAATAAAGGATATGCTTCCTTGATTCAAAATCAGAATCTTTTTTAAAAAAAAACAAATAAAATAATAATATATACCAATAGGTTAAATCTTAACCCATCGGTTCAAATTCATTCACTCGGTCAGACGCCACACACACAGAAATGCCAGAGAAAAGGGAAAGCAAAATCCAGACGCGTGTGAAGGATAAGAGCAGAGCAAAGCTTGCTAGACATGCAAGCCAAAGAACGAAGAGCTGAGCAGATTTTCGGACACATGCAAGGTAATTTGTTTTCTTTTTCTTTCTTTTGGTCTTCAATAAAAGGGAAACCGAGAAAGAGACTGGGGAAGCAAGGGCTGAATCGGGGTTTTAGGAGAGGCTTTGAGCATGAGAGATTGAGAGATCTGTGAGCGTGGGAGAGACCAGAACATGAGAAGGAGGGATTTTTCTAAGAAAAAGGGAAGATTTTTCTGGAAAGAGGAAGAATAGAGGAGACGGAGATCAGGAGGAGAGATTTGTAAAAAAAATAGAGGAGACCAAGAGAGATTTTACTTCTATTTAGGGAGAGAATGCGAGTAAGATTTGGAGGAAGAGAAAGTAGAGGTTGGCGGTGGCAGGAGACGAAATCAGATGCCACGATAAGGCCGAATCTAGTGGATAAAATTTGACAGTAAGGAGTTTTGGTCTGGGAAATGATCGGTTAGATCTCAGTTATCTTCTTTAGTGTCTGGGCTTCGTCTTTGGTGTCCATTTCTTTAGGTGAGTCATCATCATCAGCGAGGTATAAAGACAGAGCCGGAGAAGGCGAGTTCAACTCTGGCTGGGGAAGAAGTGAATGGGTAATATTGAATCTTTATTCTTCAAGGCTTAATATAATATTAATTTCAAAATTTGTCGGATGAATTTCCACCTGAGGATGACTCGAATCTTGTAATTTGTTTCCCTTTCGTCAAAGATATTTTAAAATTTTATTTATTGCACAAACATGTTAGTTGGATGTTTGATCAAGTGTTTGAGTGATAGAATATTGTTTTTAAAGGAGTTCTTAGTGCATGGCTTGTTAGTTTTGTGCTGTTCGAGACTTCTTTTATGTCAGCTCTTTTCTTAAGATGATGTTGCATTAATAGTTAATTTTCTCCTCTTGAGTTGGTTCAATCAAGAGGAGATAATAGGCTAAGGGTGTATCATTTACTCCAAATAAAGTACTTCATTTTCAAAATCACTCGTTCTCCTCGTTTATTTCATCTTTTAAAATTCAAGTTTGAATTGATTATAGTTTATTGTAAGTGAACTTCCCTCAAAGGTGTTATAGAATTAGTACAGACAATAGAAGTTTTAAAATTTATGAATTTGGGATGAATTGTGATGAATTGTTTTGGGCGAGCGTGATAGAAAGTAATGCACTTCCCCCAATTTAAGCTCATTGAAATCCACTGTTGCATCATGAAGTTTGCCACTCTTGTCCCAAGCTTGGTGGTCTCTTTATGATGTAATATAATTATAGCCAAGTACATACGTTCCTCTTGCTATGTTTTGAATGTTTTCTTTTTATCAAATTATAAAAAATGCCTTCCTTGATGAATGAATTAAATGATCAATAAATGAAATTTGCAGCATTGTGCGATAATAAGTATAAATACAAGTAACCCTTGACCCTTATTGTGATCCCATTTATCTCAAAGTTAAATAAATGTTAATTCAATTTTTATTTTCGAAGCAACACAAGTAACAAGTATTTTATTTAGAACAATATCCTGCAATAATAAGTATAATCTTATCGTTGGACAGTGTTGTGAATAACAATTGGGTAAAAGATAGAAGGAGCAAATAACAATTGGCAAAAGATTTTGTTAGTTGAGTAGTTAATTAAACCTAAATTATATGATAATCATAATGATGATAACAATGATAAAAGAACATATTCATGTTTATTTATTTTCCATGTGGGGTTTTAAGAATCTCCATAGGAAGTTAAATGATCTTGTATCGTGTAAATTAATAAGATTTCGTAGATACGGGAGTAAAACTCATATGGGTTCTAAAGGCCCATCATTAAAATTAACTCTCTTTTTATAACTCATATTAATAATTTATTTAAGTCTCGTGTGAGGTTTCAAGAATCTTCATAGGGACTTAAATTAATCACCTCATTGTGTGGGATAATAATTCCTCAAAGATGCGGTGGTTCTCAATATATATAACAAACAATTTTTTTAAATAATCACATAACACACAATTTAGGAGATTAATTAACTAAATTAATGCATTTAAAATGCAATCATATTTAATAATTAAATCTTTTAGTCATGTGAGATTTGAATCTCCATAGACTTTTAAGATAATCGTATTATCGTATGAGTCAATAAGATTCTGCAGATATAACGATTAAGTTTTTAATATATATATATATATATATAAATTATATATTAAATTAATTAAATTAAAGACGTATTTAAATTTAATTCCTTTATCATATGAGATTTTAAAACCTCCGCAGATATTTAGGATAATCATATTATCGTATGAGCCAATAAGGCTTTGCAGGAATGTTGATTAAAATCTTTCAAAACATGTATCTACATGCTAAAAAATTACTATTAACACTTAAAAATGTACATAAGAATATAAATGAATAAATTAAATTGTCAAACTCTTTTATCATGTGAGATTTTAGAATCTCTGTAGATATTTAGAGCAATTGCATTACCGTATGAACCAATAAGATACTGCAGGTACTGCGATTAAAATTCTCAATCATAAAACATAAAGAAAAATATTTTTAAACCCTTTTCTTTCTTTATTCAAAAAATTCAAAAATGGAGAAAATAATTAAAATTAAATTACTTCTTGCAATTTAAAACACACATATCAAAATTTTAGAAATTATTTTATTTGCAAAATGGTGAATTATTTCTAATTAATTTCTCTTCAAAAATATTTTTACCAACAACTTTTAAGCCCAAGCTACGTGGACTTTGATCCCCATCACAGGGTACATAGGCCTCAGAGTTAGATTCTGAGTCAAGTCCGTTCTCCCTCGTAAATAAATAAATATTTCTCACCTAATTCTTATCATTTTTATCAAACACATGAATATAAAAGGGATAATTAAA